ACTGGAGGCTCCAAGGCTGCAGCCCTGGCAGGTATGGGGTCCCCACAAGGATCCAGCAAATTAAATTCCTCTGGAGACAGGAATCTGTTTGAGAAATAGAGGAATCGTATCAACTCCTTGTGCTACAAAAGGACAATAGATTTGCCTAATGTGCTTGCTTGGGGGATAATTTACCAAGGAGCTGGTACTAGATATGTTTTAAGGACTTCTAATTTTAAAAGGGTGATTCCACTTTTAACAATATTCCTGTATGTAGGGTTTGTGATTAGCACTATAGAATTTTACTGTTATAAATTTGAAGGAGACCCTGAGAACAACTGATGGCCTGACCCTCAGCTGGGTTCTATTTCCAATGTGAGTGGCTCATGAATCATGATAGAATGAGGAAGTCATTGTTCAGCTGTTTACTCCAGCAGAAATAGAGCTACATCCTTGGGACAGAGGTTCATTTCAAGTACTCTGACTAAAAGTTTCCTCATAACTTTATACAAAATGTTCCTTTATTGTTTACAACATGTCAACCTGAGTGACTTCTTTCAAAAGATCAGAATTCACACTGCATGATGTTGGAAGAAATGTTCATCTGGGTTCGGTTCCAAGTGGAGAGAAAGACAATGGAAACATGGAGGCGATTTGGAAAGATGGTTTAATGGTGGACAGGACCAAATGGTTCTAGTTCCTGTGCAATCAAGCACATGAGAGAGAGGGGGAGGGAGGGATGGAGGGAGGGAGAGAGAGATATATAGATTTATACCCTCTCTTGGGCTTTGAACTTGCTTGCTAATCCTATGAAAGAAATGTATTCTGATTGATTGCCCATGCAGGGGTAACTTTGTAGGTTGTCTTGAGTCCCAGGCTTGGTTGAAACTTGCTGGGTGATACAATCTTCCCAGGTGCCATGTGGTGAGATGGGTAGAGAGCTAATTCCATTATGTCCTGAGGTTGAAGTTATTTTGTTTTGTAGATAAGCTGGCCCAGCATTTTGTCTTGTGGAAAGGTTGGCACCAGTCTTTCTGGGGCTATTAACAAAGGTGGGGGGTGCTTTCTAAAAGGATGTTTCTCCTTTTCTTGTCCAGGGAGGTATTTATAATAGTCTGCCTTTTAAATATTTCCTAGAATATGTCATTCTTCTGGGAGAGGGGTAGGTACTAACTTTATACTGTGATTACATTTGTCTTTTTTGCTACAGGATTACATTTGTTGCATTTAGTAACAAGGTAGAAAAAACTTTCTAATCTTATTATTCTCAGGAATTTCTTGCTGCATGTAGTTTGTCAGTTTTACAAGGAAGCTGGCAAAGAGGGATACATAAACAGTCCGGCTGGTAATTTAATCAACTCTAACTTTTGGTGGCTTGTTTCTACATAACTTCTTTGCTTCCTGGCTGACTTGGTGTTGAAAAAATGTTTGAACATCTTTTCAGCAATAGTATTCTATTCCTACAGAAGTTATTGCTTTTCCTCCTCCTGCAGGATTTTCAGGGGATATTCCCTATTTGAAGGATTCCTTTGTTTTATATTCTTCTTCATTTTATATTCTTAAACTGTCACCAAGCTAATATAGCCTAACCCATCTCTCTACTGAAATCCCCATTAAATATCTGACTGGTAGCTGCTCAGTCTCTGCACTAAGCCAACCAGTGTAGGGGAGTCTGAACTTCTCTGGTTCACTTGTGAAGCTGTAAAACTGCTCCTCTTCTTAAGGTAATTTTTTTCCTTTAATTAAGCCAGAATATCATCATTGAGTTCATTTTATCATGTTCCACAGTCATGTATAATTGTGAACAGATCTTAAGCTTCTGTGTAAAATCTTCCAGTTTTTGGAAGAGTGCTCTATCCTTCCCTTCTCCAGTTATAACACTAGTAGAAAAGATGCTTTGGGGTAACAGATTTTTATTTTCAAGGAGTTTATGAATATTTTCTTTTTTGTTGTTGTTCAGTTTATTTGATGCCTGCTATAGAAGGTTCCCTATAGTTGATCAAATGTGCCTATTACATTTTCTCAATACATATTTTTTCAACATATGATTGACAAATTTTGCTGAACCTTTCTTGTTTACTTATGAACTTAGTGATAACACTTGTCCTAATTAAGCATTTTGGCATCTTAAAAAGAACTGATAACAGATAATTAGAGTTGGAAGGAACCTTGTAGGTCATCTAGTCCAACCCACCACCCAAACGGGAGACCCTACACCATTTCTGACAAATGGTAGTCCAATCTCTTCCTTAAAGGCTCAAGTGATGGTGCTCCCACAACTTCCGAGGGCAAGCTGTTCCACAGCTGGTCACTGCTAGAAAGTTTCTCCTTATTTCCAGGTTAAATCTCTCCTTGTTCAGTTTCCATCTGTGGAAAAAAAAGTCATATATGAAAATATCTGGTGGGATAACAAACCAAGGTTTCTGCTTTTAAAATTCCTGGATGTTTCCATTTCTAGTTCCATCTCTTTCTGGAGAAGAATGAGTTCTACAATCTTTCCCACTGGAATCTTTACATGGGCCATAATGGAGAAATAGCTGCAGATATGGACATTGAGTTCTTGGTGATTTCACCTGATGGGGATTTGATGAAAAGGAAACTGGGGAGTATTGAAAGACAGAGAGTTATTATTAACGAATTTGCTCTTTCATGGATAAATCTGCTCAACAAGGTGGGTCAAATATTTCTGTGTTTTCTCCATTTTTCTAAAGATTGTGATCCATTTCAAATGGGTTAACTCGAGTCACTATGGCAGATGACCCTCACTGGGAATTAAATGTATAGAAGAGAAAACTTAACATTTGTTAGATGGATTGTGGAAACTTCAGTACTATTCACAAAAACATCCTTCAGATGCCATGATAAGGAATATTCCTTTAAACTGATTCAGTCATGTCCAATATTGGATGCTGGGTGATTATTCTTTGGGATGGATACCATGGATCAAGCAGGTGAGTAAGTGCTAACAGGTGCCTCAGGTTCTTTGAGCCAGTGTCTGAATTCAGGTTAGGACTGATTCATATGAAATATAGTCATGACTGGTTAGAGGTCCTATTGGTGTATGTGAGAAATAAGTCTCACCTTGTCCAGATTGAGGAATGTCTCTCTTGAAAGGTGCAATTAACAAACTGCTGAGCTGCCCAGACAGCTGAGCAGCACTGTGCATGGGTGTGCAGCATTTGAGAAGCTTCTTTTTTCCTGCTTTTTCAACCTCAGCTGTGCACAAAGCAGCTGAAGTTGAAAAAGGAGGAAATAATGGACAGGTAAGAGCCCAGGCAGGCGGGTGGGCTAAACAGAAGCAGACACTGAACTAGTTTTGTGTCTGCTGCTCTTCAGAACTACCAGTTCTACAGAGCCAGACAGAACTGGTAGAATCCCACACCTACTTGAGAGCCATGTGAATTGAAGAAACAAACACATGAATAAAGAAAGCCCTCCTTTTAAAGGTTTATTTCCCCTTACAGCTTAATTGGGGGATGGTTTTGGATTCTTTTCAAAGGGAATGTGTTTTGCAATCCTTTATATACTCCAGAAAAAGCCTATCCATATTCTACTGGTCCAAGTTTCTTTTTCATTATTGTTTTTTTAAATAAATCTAAAACATAGAAATTTAATAAATCTTTTGTAATAATTTAATGAAAGATTATTGTACTGTACTTTAAAATCATAGTTATGTGAACAATGGAGAAATGTATGTTAACAAGGCTATATTGGTGTCACTTAAAGCTGAAATTTTTTCAATTCCATCCCTCCACTCTTTCTTAACTAGAATAATCCTTTATTGCAATGTTAGAGGCTAGGGGAGTGAGTAAATGAACAATCTGCCAGTATTTATCTCTCCTAAATCTGATTGGAATGAGTCAAGGATTTCATATTTATCTAAGTGAAGCCCAGGAACGATTTGGCTAATATTAATGTCTGCATCCATTTTCATGCATGCTTCATTCCAATATATTTTCTTTGGCATTTCTTCTTTTTCTGCTTAGTCTCTGCCTCAGTCTCAATGTGTGGAAAGTTGTCATCCTGGATCTGTCAAGCGGAAGCGAGAAGGAGAGCCTGCTTGCTGCTATGACTGCATTCCTTGTCCTGAGGGGACCATCTCCATTCATGAAGGTGGGGGACACAAAGGAAAGGGACAGGACTCGTGGAAGTCGATTCATCTGAAACACTGCAATACAAATACAAGTCAAAAGACAGATTGAAACTCATTTTTGTTTTGGTTTTGCTAGCAATTCAGCAGTTTGATTCTCCCCAGATCAGGGTTGACTCAGCCTTCCATCCTTCCATTGTTGATAAAATGAGGACCCAGATTCTTGGAGGCAATACTTACTCTAAACTGCTTAAAGATGGCTGTAAAAGGACTATAAAGGGTTATATAAGTCTAAGCACTGTTGCTGCTATCTTCAAATTGCACAATTTCTTATTTAGAGGGAGAAATAACAGAAAAACCTTGAAGGAAGGCCGAGGAAGAGATAGGTGGTATAGCAGATTGCACAAGCTTCTCTACTGCCAGAAAAAAAATTCTCTTCTGCTTTCTAGTTTGGATTACAGATTAATTGCATAACTAACTCTTTTTCTAGCTGATTAGATTTCAAAAAAACAGGCATCCAAAGTTAAGTACATTAAGAAGTGCCATCTTGCAAGATCCAGGAAATATGTCTAGTAAGAGTCGTTTTACTGTAATGCAAGTTCTGCAAATGACAGAAGAAATCATTCATGTTCCAGGACTTCTTCTAATTTTATAAACTATAAAAATATCACTTTTATAAAGAAAATATTATATTGCTTACCTACTTTCTGTAGAGATTTTAAGCAACAATTCTCAGAAAATGCTGCTGGTAACACATTGTGTTGCAAGAGGGTATTTCTTGAAAGGAACAGAATATTTTTTTAAAATGTTGCTATTTTGTTTTACTCAGACACAGAAAAATGTACCAAGTGTCCAGATGAAACATATCCAAATGAGGACAGAATCCAATGTATCCCCAAAGTTATATCCTTCCTTTCTTATGAAGAACATCTGGGAATCATTCTGGTCTCTTTTGCCCTATTCTTGTTCTTAGCTACAGGCCTTGTTTTAATCATATTCATTAAACATCTAGAAACTCCCATTGTGAAAGCCAACAACCGAGACCTCTCTTACATCCTCCTGGTCTCCCTCCTGCTTTGCTTCTTGTCTCCTTTTCTCTTCATTGGGCAACCAAGGAAAGCCACTTGCCTTCTCCGACAAACAGTTTTCAGCATTGTCTTCTCAGTTGCCGTTTCTTCTCTCTTGGCCAAAACCATCACGGTGGTTCTGGCTTTCCTGGCAACAAAACCAGGAAACCGAGTGAAGAGATGGTTGGGGAAGAGCTTGGCCAACTCCGTCATCCTTTCTTGTTCTAGTGTCCAGATTATTATTTGCTCCATTTGGCTTGGAGTTTCTCCCCCATTCTGTGACTCAGATTTTTATTCCCAGCCTGGAGAGATCATCCTGCAATGCAATGAAGGCTCTGTTTTCATGTTCTACATCACTCTCGGCTACATGGGCTTCCTGGCTGCCATCTGCTTCACAGTGGCTTTCCTGGCCCGGAATCTCCCCGGAGCCTTCAATGAAGCCAAGCTGATCACCTTCAGTATGCTGGTTTTCTGCAATGTATGGGTGTCCTTCCTTCCCACCTACCTGAGCACCAAGGGAAAATATATGGTGGCTGTGCAGGTCTTCTCCATCTTGGCCTCCAGTGCTGGTCTGCTGGTCTGTATCTTTATCCCCAAGTGCTACATTATCATTCTGAAGCCAGACTTGAATACAAAGGAGCATCTTACAACCAGAAGAAATGTATAGTGTGAGTTAGAGGAATTTCTACTCTCAAAACATTTCAACAGACCAAGCATACAAAATGGTTCCAAGCTGTCCCCTGTAGATCAGCTGGGGTGACAATTTTGAGTTAAAATAATCACAGGGCAATTGGAAGATAGTATCCTCCATCTTATCCAGTATAATTGCAAAATGAGTATAGTCTGGATTATCCATCTGGTCAAAATATGTAGAAATAAAATAAAATGGGAACTGAAATACAGCCATATAAGAGTTTTACAAAACAATTCATGTTGTTTTTGCTCTTCTCTGCCCTTTTTCTAGACTCTCAACATCTTTTTTACATTGTGGCAATCAAATCTGATTGCAGTATTCCCTGTGTGATCTTACCAAGGCACTGAGAAATAAATATGGATCCTGGTCTGATTCAGAAGACCTGTTCTTAACTTTTGGAAATGGAAGTTTCCAAATTCAAATAAATTATCACATAGTTTCGCAGAAATTTTTTTGGTTGGGTATATTTCCCTTCTTGGCTTTATCATGGCTGTATTTTTCTAACAGCCAAGAAAGTCTCAGTGTTCCTCATCCATTCTTGGAACATTAAAGGACTGTGTTACAATCTGCATCTTTAACCAATCTGACGAAAGTCTGTTTTTGCTGATGCACCTGCAAAAACATGTAACAATATAGTTCAGCTTTCTAGTGTCTTCTGTTATTGAGTTCTTTTGGAGAGAAACCATTAGTCAAAAACATGTGCTGATTTTCTTCAAACCATGTATGCAATTAATGAGTTTTCAAAGGCTGATGTTAAATGGTTATTTTTAAACTCTAATTGTTCATTTTTAAAATCTGGTTTTCTTCTCTGTGTTCTCCTTTGAGCAATATATTTTGTTGACAGCTGGTTTAAATATAGCTGAGCTAATGTTTAATTTACAAGCTTGCAGTGTGGGTTGAATTCAATTCCTGCATGCCTCTTTCCCATCTGTGGCTCTAGTTATAGTACCTTTTCTCTATTCAAAGTGGGCAGTTTGTCCATTTCAGGAAGTTCAGTCAATTTCACAAGCTATTCCTCCTGGTGGGTAGTTCTGAATGTTTCCTTGTGCATTGAATAATCCCACCACAACAATCACATATTAAAACAATGTTCCATGGAATTTTCCTAACTGATCCTCCATCAATCTTCAAAGAAAATATTGAACATTTATCTTTAAAATCCATTTTTACATGTCCACAAAGCATAATAATATGTCCCTACACATTTTTCACATTTCCAGCTCTACAAGCCTTTTCAATTAAAAAAAGCCCATGATGTAATATCTGGAACATCAGTTTTAGTCAAATTGGTTTGAGACCCTTTATCAGTGTAATTTGTCTCATCTTTGTTCTCAGTGCTCCTCATCTTACTATTTAGCTCTGTCCCAAACTGAAGTGGGTAGAAATAGCAAAATGTTCAGAACCCTTTAAAAGACTTACGGGGGGAGAGCTTATGAGGAGCTTATGGGTCTCTCAGAGAACCTTGTCCACCTTCTTTGGAGTCACCAGCTCAATCTCCTCCCAGATCAGAACACCAGACTATGTAACAGGCACTGTGACCTTCCTTGTTCAGATCAGGAGAAATCTCAGTATTTTTTTTCCTCCAAATAGCCTGGATAATATTCCCCCAAAGCCCGAGCCAGATGTTCTGAAGGTCTCTCCCTAACCTATAAGGACCAGGTCACCCAAAATGTGACTGCTTCATGACTATCACCTGACCTAGTGAAGGTGCAGAAAATATTGCTTTTTCACCCCACTTATCACCATGAGGTAATCTCCAACATGGGCTCTTTCAAATATTCACTCAGATTCCCTTCAGTTTTAGTAAGATACGGCAGAAA